GAACAGTGGAAAGATTACTTTCTGGTTAAACTAAAGGTCTATCTCTGTAGGGATCCTTTCCATAATGCTGTCAGACACTGGGAATAACAATCTGAGTCTGTCAGTGGTAGAAACAACAACTTATAGTGGACAGACCTTGATGGTCTCATTTGTCCCCAAAATTTGCTAACGTTGCATGGCAGCCCATTTTGTGGCTATTTTCTCATCCAACTTGGTGAATTAGGGGTTTATTTTGACCAAACCAGAGTTAACTATTGTTTTTAAGACAAACAAAGATGGTTTGGGTGAGTTTTATTTTATTTCTGTCCAGTTAATTTTGTAAATACGATATTTGCATGATATGGTAAAAACATCTTATTGCAATTATTTTGACAGATATTGCAATATGATATGAGAAGACTTTTGTCGCACAACTTGCAGTAATGGCAAGTGACTTGTGTAATTAATGAACTTATTTTAACCCAAATCATTATGTTTTCCTAAACCTAACCAAACTAGCGTGTTTTCTAATTATCTGCTAAATAAAATGACTGGTTTTGTCTGGTCGCCCATAATGTGGGAATGACCATTTTTGACATATCCACTCTTCACTGAACAAAACTGTTACATTCACGATTATATGAATTTTTGGGGGGTCTGTGTCAAACAAACATGTTTCCTACATCTTAAGAACAAGATTTATAGTGTTTTTTTTTTGACATTTTATCTTTATCAAAAAAACCCAGCTTCTGCGATTTGCGTATTGCACTTGGCCATTTTGCAATTTCAATAATGTTTCAATTAATTGTGCAGCCCTAATATTTGTATTTGTACAACATTTGTCCTTTTACATGGATCCATTTTGCTATTTAGTTTGCATCTCACTCAGAAAGTAGAAGTTAGCACTTTAAGCTAACTAGCTTCTACACATTGGCAGCTCCACACCTTCAGTGCTGTGTTCATCCTGCATTATACAAAGGAGTGGGATTAGATAGCATTGGCTGTCTCTCTTTTATGGGTCCAATCATGATTGTAAATAACAAAATAAATTGCTAAATAGACTCTTAAACCTTCCTGTAACATTGGAGCTACTACCTCTGTGTTCGGTGATGTTTGTCTGTCAGCAGGTTTATGGAAAAAACTACTGGCCCCATTATCATGAAATTTTGTGGAAGCATGTAGCATGAACCAAGGCAGAACGAATTTCATTTTGGAGTGGATCTGAGTCATGGGGCAGATACATGAACCATTTCCCCCTACATTACTGAATTTTATGTATGGTGTCCACATACAACAAAACATAACAGCCACCTCAAAGTTCACTGTAGAAACACCAGGTATGTAAGAAATAAGCCACTGGGGATGCAATTTTGCCATATTACCCAGTCTTGTGGAAAAACAGCCATGAAAGTTGATGATTTGCAATGAAGGCCGGACATTTGAGCTCCACTTTAGACATTAGAAATCTATCTATGCCGTCTTTAAATGTCACTACTGCAAATGTTGGATACACTTTGCATTTCTGCAGCAAAACTAAAAACTCCCTGTAATAAAAAATACTTGACAAGATAGAAAACATATTTGGGTTCTTTAGACGAAAGTCACTTTTGATATTATGGATGGTTGCTCTAGCAACCTCCTTGATTTCGAAAGCAATAACAGTGAGCCGACAGGAAGTTTGGGGATTTGTAGGGTCGCTGCCGGGCACAAAATCAGACAGAGAGAGAGAGAGAGTGTCTTTAAGATTTCCAGTTCATATTGTAGAAATTTACATGAGAGAACGATCGAAGATGAGTTTAGAACAGGGAAGAGAAAGAGAGAGTCTGTGTCTCAACAGAGCAGAACTGACACCAATCTGTCAGACATCCCACACATACACACAAACACACACGAACACAAACACACACAATAATGAAGATAAAATGAAGATGAGGAGGAGGAGGAGGAGGAGCAGAGGAAGAAGAGAACAGAGGAGGAGGAATACGAGGCGAATGGAAACAGTCTGTCATTCACATGACAAATTATGTGTTTTCAGCCTGTGATTTTACCGCAATACTGTCTCTCTTCCTCCCTCTTTCTCTCCTTCCTCTCTCCCTCTCTCCCTCCTTCAGGCTATTCAGTTTCCAATCTGTCTTGTTTGTCTCATTGTTAACAGTGACAGCCCTCCACCTATCTGCATTCACATTTAAACTCTGCATATTTGTGTTTGTGTGTGTGTTGGAGGTGTAGGTGAGCCTCAGTGACAGCTCTCAGATCTAATGAAGCGTCTCTGTGGATATAAATATCGCTTCAATTTATTAAGAAACTGAGAGTGTTTGTGTGTGAGTAAGAGAGTGAGAAGAAAAAAAACAGAAAGTGTGGTATGTTTAAAGAAATTTGTGAGCATTGAGATTATAGATAAACAGCAGTGGTGTCGTCATGTGTTTAAAAGTAGCAGGGCCAAATTTAGGTGCAAATGCAACACAATATGCACATAAATATGCACATGTGCACTGTGACAAGAAGTGTCGCAGCAGGAATCAAATATAAATTCAATAAAATAGCAATAAAATAAATATTGAAATGATTCGCTCTGCCATTCTTCAGTTCTGTTCAGTTTCTTTTCATGAAAGTCAACACCTCCTGCGCATGTTTTACAATGAAGGCCTCCCAGGAAAGGAATGAATTTTGCCCTCCTGAAAGGCTGGAAGGCTTTTAATATGAAACAGGAAGACAGTTTACTCTAATACCAGCCTTTCTTCAAATAAGGCATCTGAAAAGTGCATCCATCCGACGAGCTCTTCTGTTGAAGTATCCTGACACCTTGAGGGTGGTGATACTGAGGATACAATAGAGGACTGCATTGGGGCTCCCGTGGGACCCAACACAAATCTTGCTGGAGCAGGCGGTTTTTACTGTACTGCAAAAGGTCAAAAAACAAACAGGGGGTCCTGGGGTTTAGCTTGCACCCACTAGAAGGAGATGAATATCAAAGCCAGTTCTTAGAAGACAATAGCAAAGCAAGGCAAGTCTGGCACTGGGAAAAATTTTATACTTGTTACTGACTTGTTACCTTTTTACCTGGAGGAGACACAAAACCTTTATTGTGTGGGCATGAATGGGCACACACATAGCGAGAGCGGGACGTAATAGTCAGAAATCAAACAGGAACAAAGAAAACCTGCACAAGGCTTTAATTTACAGTTTCTAATGTGAAATATCTTCACAATAGTTAATGGATCCATACAGTTTCATTGGCACATTAAAGGGATAATTTGACTATTTTGCAGCAGGGTTGTACTGGAGAAGCAGACAACAAAAAGTGTCCTGGGTTTGATTGCTGGCTGGTGCCTTTACGTGTTGAGTTTACATGTTCCTCCAGGGGCTCCAGTTTCCATCAAAGCATGTCTGAATGGAGAATTAACCTTTCATTGCCCTTGAAGAAGGCACTGGCTCAGATCTTGAGTTGGTCCCTGGACGCCGCACTGTGGCTGCCCATTGCTCCTAGACAATATGAATTTAAATGCAAAGGATGAATTTCTTTATGGGTATCAGTGGAGGAGAACTTAAGCAATGCACTGCTGTGGACGGGGTCTTAAAAAAATATATTTTAGCCTCCTAAAAAATGAAAAGAAAAGAAATCATAGTGTTCGCTATGTTTTCGCCTCAATCAGACGGCCCTTTCTGATTAGAAACTGAAGCAGTTGCATCGCTCTATCTAAAGCCGCCACACTCCTTTGACAAAAACAGTAATTTTACCTTGCAACTTAATACCTTTCTTTTTGCAACAAATTGATTGCTAGTCTGCTGCTGTCACGATCTGCAGCTTATAACGTTCATTTGGATGTGTTAAAATACTAAAATCATGCAATAACACAAACAGACGAACTGACCGAGTGTGCACCTAAACTAGTTTTTTTTTTTTTTTTAGGGGGCTAAA